GCTTCAGACTGTATTCTTTCGAAGGATGGATATGTTATTATTCCGATGCCGGTCCATTGATGAGATAATTGGTTGTTTAGGTAAGGTCTCGGGCTGAGTGTTTTTTCGGGTTTAGGGGCTAGGAGTTTTTGGTTTAGGGTTTTTTTGGGTTTAGACTGTAGGGTTTTCGGGGTTTAGGGCTTTTTGGGTTTAGTGTTGGGGGGTTTTACGGTTTAAGGTTTTGGGCGATAGGGTTTAGAGTTTAAGGCATTTTCTCGGGTTCAGGGTTTAGGGGTTTTGAGTGTTTAGGGTTTAGGTGTTTTTCAGAGTTTAGGGGGGGGGTGTTCAGGGTGCAGGGTCTAGGTTTCTTTTGGGTTTAGGGTTCAAGGGTTTTTCGGGTTTAGAGTTTTTAGGGTTTAAGGTTTAAGGTTTAGGGTTTAGGGGTTGTTTAGGATTCAGGGGTTTTCAGGGTTTAGGCTTAGGATTGTTAGGATTTGGGGTTTAGGGGTTTTTAGGCTTAGGGTTTAGGGGTTTTCAGGGTTTAGGGTTTATGGGCTTTGAGGTTTTGGGTTATTAGGGTTTAGGGTTCGGGGGTGTTTAGGGTTGAGTGTTTTCTTTTAGGGTTTGGGGCTCGGTTCTTTAGGGTTTAAGGTTTAGGGTTAGAGTGTGGGGCTCAGGGTGTCTAGGATTTAGGGGCGTTTAGGGTTCAGGGCTTAGGGGGTTTTAGGGTTTAGGGTTTCGGGGTGTTTAGTTTAGGTTTATAGGTTTTCAGGGTTTCGGGTTTAGGGGTTTGAGGGTTTAGGGCTCAGGGTGGTTGGGGTTTAGGAGTTTTGAGGGTTCAGGGTTTAGGGGTGTTTAGGGTTTAGGGTTTAGGGTCTAGGGGTGTTTAGGGTTCAGGGCTCTTAGGGTTTTTCGGGTTAGGGTTTTTTTGGGTTTAGACTTTAGGTTTTTCGAGGTTTTGGGTTTTTTGGGTTTAGGGCTCGGGGGTTCTTGCGGTTTAAGGTTTAGGGGTTTAGGGTTCAGAGTTTAAGGCGTTTTCTCGAGTTTAGGGTTTAGGGTGTTTAGTGTTTAGGGTTTAGGTGTTTTTACAGCTTCGGGCTTGTCAGAGCTTAGGGTTTAGGGGTGTTCAGGGTGCAGTGTCTAGGTTTGTTTTGGGTTTAGGGTTCGAGGGTTTTAAGGGTTGTTTAGGATTTAGGGGTGTTCAGGGTTTAGGCTTAGGATTGTTAGGGTTTGGGGTTTAGGGGTTTTTAGGGCTGCGGGTTTAGGGGTTTTCAAGGTTTGGGGTTTATGGGTTTTTGAGGTTTAGGGTTATTAGGGTTTAGGGTTCAGGGGTGTTTAGGGTTGAGTGTTTTCTTTCAGGGTTTGGGGCTCTGGGGTGTTTAGGGTTTCGGGTTTCGGGGGTTGTTCAGGGGGTAGGGGCGTTTAGGGTTTAGGTTTAGGGGTTTTCGGGGTTTCGGGCTCAGGGTTTTTTGGGGTTTAAGAGTTTTTGGGTTTAGGGCTCAGGGTGGTTAGGTTGTGAGTGTTAGGGCTGTTAGGGTTTAGGGTCCCGGGGCGTTTGGGGTTTAGGCTTAGGGCTTAGGGTTGAGGGGGGTTTAGGGTTCACGGTTTTTAGGGTTTTGGGCTCAGGCTCACGGGCTTTTTAGGGTTTAGGGCTTAGGGGTTGTTAGGGTTTGGGGGGTTTTCACGGTTTAAAGTGTTTGGTTTTTTAGAGTCTAGGGCCGAGTGTTTTTGGGGTTCAGGGGTTGCGGTTTTTTTGGGTTTAGGGTTTTTTGGGTTTAGACTTTAGGGTCTTTTTCAGGGTTTCGGGGTTTTTTGGGTTTAGGGCTCGGGGGGTTTTTCGGTTTAAGGTCTAGGGTGTTAGGGTGTAGAGTTTAAGGCATTTTCTCGGGTTTAGGGATGAGGGGTTTTTAGTGTTTAGGGTTCAGGTGTTTTGACGGTTTAGGGGTTGTCAGAGTTTAGGGTTTAGGGGTGTTCAGGGTGCAGGGTGTCAAGGGTTTTTAGGGTTTAGAGTTTTTAGGGTTTAGGGTTTAGGGAGTTATTCGGGTTTGGGGTTTTGGGGTTTCTAGGGTTTAGGGGTTTTCAGGGTTTAGGGTTTATGGGTTTTAAGGTTGAGGGTTTAGGGGGTGTTTCGGGTTAGGGTTGACAACAGGGGTTTTTGGGGTGCAGGGTTTAGGGTTTAGGGTTTGTTAGGGTTCAGGGGTGTCGAGGATTGAGTAGTTTTTTTTCGGGTTTAGGGTTCAGGGGTGTTTAGGATTTCGGGTTGTTAAGGTTTAGGTTTAGGGGTTTTGAGGGTTTCGGGTTCAGGACTTTTCAGGGTTTTAGTTTCTGTTAGGGTGTAGGGTTTTAGGGTTTAGGGCGTAGGGGTTAGGGGTTGTTTAGGGTTTAGGTCTTTTTAGGGTTTAAGGCTTAGGGCTCAGGGATGTGTAGGGTGTTTAGTTAGGGTTCAGGGCTTGGAGGCTTTAGGGTTTGGGGGTGTTTAGGGTTTAGGGTTTAGGGGTGTGCAGGGTTCACGGTTTTTAGGGTTTAGGATTTTTTTGGCTCAGGCTCAGGGGCTTTTTAGGGTTTAGGGCTGAGGGTTGTTAGGGTTTGGGGTTTAGGGGTTGTAGGGTTTATGCGTGTAGGGGTTTTCACGGTTTAAGTGGGTTTTTTGTTTTGTGTATTTTTTATGGTTGCACGTTTTTCGTGTGTTTATTAGGTTTTTTTTTTAAAGCTTTGCATGTTTTTTGTGACGAAAGTGCACTCCCACAGCGTCCCATTCTTCTTTTTGTTTAGGGCTTAGGGATTTTGAGTGTTTAGGGTTTAGGTGTTTTGACGGTTCGGGGGTTGTCAGAGTTTAGGGTTTAGGGGTGTTCAGGGTGCAGGGTCTGGTTTTTTTGGGTTTAGGGTTTAAGGGTTTTTAAGGTTCAGAGGTTTAGGGGTTTTAGGGTTTGGGGTTTTTGGGCTTTGAGGTTTACGGCTTAGGGTTGAGCTTTATTTTTGGCATAGGGACCTATCTGAAAGGCATAGGGGTCTATCGTCCATTTAAGGGCCTATGCCAGAGCCGCCCCCCGTTATGTATAGGCTCTTAGCCCATGTGTGGGAGGTTCTGTACATAGGTGCCACTCGGTTTCAGATAGACCCCGTTAGATAGGGCCTATGGGCCTGGGGGGTAGACGGGTAGGGGTAGGGTCCATGGTTTTCAAATAGGAATAGACGCCTGTATCAGAGGCGTAGACGGTTACTTATCAAACTTTTACTTCAGTCTGGATTGCGAATTTGGGCATGTCGAGTTTGGAGAGCTTAGGGCATGAGGAGGGGAAGGGCTCCACAGGACTGTGCACGTGAGGCGCTCCGCCACCCTTAAAGGCACGGAAGCCTAACCCGAAACGTTTCGGGTTTCGCCTTTAGAGTTTAGGGTTTCCTGTAATACTAGTAGTGTATGATCGGCCCCTTGTTAGTGCCCCTGGTAGTAAAGCTGTTGAGCAGTAATGCGTGAAAATCGTGAGTGAGCTTGCGAACGGCAAAGAGAAGAAACCTAAGGGGCGAAAAGGCCCCTGAATCGCAATTAATATATGCAAGAATGGTGCCGCAAACGAGAATGAGAAAACCAGTGGGGCCCTGACAATATTGTTGTCACAAGGCCGCCGCATCACAACACCCACCACGTCACAACATCCACCACGTCACAACCCCCGCCGCGTCACAACGCCCACCACGTCACAACACCTGCCTGGTCACAACACCCACCACGTCACAACACCGACACAACACCCACTACGTCACAACACCCACCACTTGCATGTTCCATGGTGCTGTTGGCATTGCATTGGGAAGGTTGCGGGGAAAGGATTGAGTGCGATAAGGTTGTGAGAGTGTGACGGATGTGGCTAGGTGTGGAGGTGCGGAGAAGGAAAAGTTCATGTTTGAGGACAAGCTTCCAACAAGGCCGGCCCCCCAACAAGCATCTATTTTGGTCCCGCAGCGTTGACATGCAGCCCTCCCGCCCCCAGCGCCCCCGGCGCCTCAGCGTCCCCCAGTCCCAGAACCCCAGCGTCCACCCCAGCGCCCCAGCGTCCCAGCGTCCCCATCCCACCCAGAGTCCCAGCGTCCCTCGGTCCAAAACCCTCCGCGTCTCGGTGTGCGTCCTGGCGCCGCGCTCAGCATCCCACTGTCCCAGCGTCTCAGCGCCTCGGCGTCTCGGCGCCTCGGCGTCTCGGCGCCCCAGCGTTCCCAGGTTCTCTGCGCCTCAGCGTCTCGGCGTCCCGGCGTCTGCGTGAGCGCGCCAGCATCTCAGCGTCTGAGTGCCTCAGTGTTTTAGTGCCTCAGTATCCCAAAGCCTCAGCGCCCCTCTTTGTCTTTCATTTATAGTTTTAATTTCGTCTTTGTGCTTTTAATCATTTTCATATTTTTACTTTACATTTTCTATCTTGTAATAAGCCTTTAAGGAATTCCACAAATAATAAAACAAAATCTTTTACTTTCATTAGTAGTAAAGATTTTTATGGAAAGATGTTAATTCTCTATCTGTATCTTGTTCAAATTCGTTTCGGCTTCTCTTGTTTCTCACATCCAAATAATGCATTAGAAGCATGTGGATTACCTACTCTTTTAGATAAAAGTACCTGAATGGTACTTTTTTATGCCAATATGCTATGTTAAAGCTTTACCAAAAAGAATTACTTCAATCTTCATCCCATTTTACTCTATAGCGCCCCAGCTTCCGACGTGCCAGCCTCAGCGCCTCTGAGGCGCCTTTGATGGTTTACCAGCTGAATCCTGTTTCGCAGAGCACAAATTTAGACATGACAACATTCATCTTTTCCATGCGTGCTTATACCGCGCTTGTTTAACCATTCCCACACAGCAAGACATTGTTTAAGCTCATGCTAATTCTTCGTTAATATGTTTGGAAAATACCTTACTACATAGAGCCAATTTCTTGGTGGTAGTCTCGTAATTGACGCCGTTTCGTTGATCCCAGTAAAGGCCTATACTCTTCACAGGGGTTTACAAGGCATTAGCTCTAAAGTCCGTGTGTTACGATGCAGGTTGCATCAACTGGAATGCCAGTGAGACTGACTCCCCTCTTTACGCAAAGAAAAAGAAGAGCTTGCCAGGGCTAAGTAAGGTTTACTACGAGAGGCTTCCGTGGAGTGATATTTGTGGTGTGCATCCATATGTGGATTGCGTCCATTCTTGGATTGAATTGGTATGGTTGTTTTTACGTAACCCACGCTCCCCTTCTGTTTGAGCAGGCGTCTTTGAGCGTTCAACATATTAGCAACGACGGAGCTCGGTGAGGAATGCCGGGCTGAATACTGTTGATGTATATTGTGGTGCCTGCCACCGAAACGAGAGCACACCCTTCCAGTACCACCTGAAATAAGGATAGGGCACCTGATGTTGGCCATAAATCTTTGCACCTTGGTGAGTGAGATGAACATCACACCCGGTGCAACACGTGAAACGTATGTACAAGGAGCCATTTCAAGAGATCGGCTCTTGACTGAACGCATAAGTTCGAAGAAGGCCCTTTTAAGCTGAGCATACAAGATGCTGTCGTAGGTTTGGTCCAAGGGACCCAAGAGGTTCGGCAAGCAATGCTGACTCCTGGCTTCTGGCATGTTCTGTGATGGCAAGGCGTGTGCGTAGATTCCATCGGTTTCATTTTTCAGTTCTCGTTCTATTGGGCTTGCATTGTTCTCACGATCCGCGAAAAACTTTGGCAGTTTTAGTATGCTTCAAACACGTCTCTTCTTGCATGATCCAGGCCTGGTCTCTGCTCTGGCAATGCTCATTCAGCGTTTGAGCCCTTCGGGGCGGATTTTACAACGGCACCCTGGTTGCTTTCGCCAAGCTTTTGCAGCGCTGGTGTCGGCCATTGGTTTGGGGTCAGGGTCCCCCCATCTTCGCCTGGGCCAACTTGGGTGGACAGGTGGAATCGGAGTGTTTCACATGGGAGTCTCCCTGTGGGATGGTCGGCCCGGATGGAAGGAAGGGAGGTTGTAAAGTCTCTTTCTCCCAGCTTTCAGCTTGGACGATGCTTTCCCTTAAGAAACAGAAGTACGGGAGTTCACAAAATGAATGTGTTTTTGGGGTACCCCAATGTTGGAATTTTTCCATGACTTCTCGATTCAGTCACTGTTGCCTTTGCTGCCGGCATGCGTCTCCATCGACACAGCGAAGCCTCAGAATAGCAGGCTCGAAGAGGTCTTATGCAGAGGTCCTGATCACATTGTGTGAGATGTCGATCTGCTCAAGTCTTACATTCTTAGATTGCAATGCGGAGCTGGGGAATCTAGCGAACAGGACGTGCAACCACGGAGGCGTAAATGTAGCAGCACTGATATGCCACAACGGAGGTTTGTCGAAACGGAATAGGGATCTAGCTGTTTAGGGAGGACTACACGACGATTTCAACGATGTGTTGAAAGAAAGCCTCAATAGGGAATGATCAGCTAATTAAGTACCTTTTCGTTGCCTCTCCAACGCACATGTTTCATAGAGCAGCTGGTTCTGAAAAATGTCTTGGGACACGCGTCAAGCTCATGTTGGTCCCGCTGTGTGAAGTCAAACAGGTGCTGAACGGTCCTGAGTCTGACCTTTGAGAGTTTAGGGTTTCGCATTTGGGCTTTAGGGCTGCCTTGCCAACATTTGCGTTCGTTTTCGGGCATCTTTTGAATGTCTAAGGTGTGCCACGCGACATTTCCCTACAAGATCTAAGGCCTGTTTGGTGTTTAGGGTTCAAGGGTTTGACGGTTTACCACCTTCGTCTCTCTCTTCCTCTCTTCTCTCTCTCTCTCTGTCTCTGTCTCTCTCTCTCTTGCTCTCTCTCTCTCGCTCCCTCTCCCTCTCTCCCTCCCTCCCTCCTTCTTTTTTTAGGGTTTTTAGGGTTAAGCCTTGCTTAAGCGTTTCCCAGCATCTTTTCAGGCGGCCCAACATTCCCCTTCGGGGTTCAAGCTACCCGACCCGACCCCGCGTCCTGCGTCCCGCGTCCTGCGTCCCGCGTCCCGCGTCGTCCCACGTCCCGCGTCGTCCAGCGTCCCTCGTCCCGCGTCCTGCGTCCCATGTCCCATGTCCTGCACCATCTTCAACACCAACAACTAAGACCTCACGCCTTCTTTTCCTAGTCACGAAAGGGACTGAGTTTGTCATTCTTGGAAAGCAACGATGTCTTCATCGATTTACCTGCAGCTGTCAAGCTTTTTGCAGTCGCAGGGGCGGCATGTTCGACATGGACTTCCGGTTATCAGACACCATATCGTGATATGGTTATGCCCATATACTTATATACAATCCCAGCTGTTTCAAGATCCAAGTTTACAGTGGTACTGGACACAGCTGCTGTGCATGAGCGCGGCTTTCCGAGCATCAGCAGTCCATGCCTGGCTATCCTGATGTGGAGTGCTCAAAAGTCAACTGGTTCATGACAAGCTGCAGCTGAAGTAAAGGATAGGATGTGTGGTCGACACCTGTCAAGGCCGAGACCAAGAAGAAGGAGATGCAGTCTATTTTTGGACCCGTTCATGACCAATTCAGCTTGGGAAAACGGTTGGGAAAGGGAGGCAGGAGTGCATCAACATAATCAGTGGTAGAGTAGAAGTAGTGTCATGGCAGAGCGTGGCGCGCGCGCGTGGGTGTGTGTGTGTGTGTGTGTGTGTGTGTGCGCTCGCGCGTGTGATGAACACTGGTGAAGGTCAGGCAATCGTTTATGAATGCACACGAATGAAGACGCAAAAGAAGTACGCAGCAAGGCCCTCATTTGCCCCACTGGCCCCCAGTGCATGTGATGTTGCTGGAATGTTATTCAATGACTGTGAGATTCCGAGGTCAAGGTGATTGAAATGAAAGCGGTTGTTTTTCAGAAGAATGATGGTGAGCAGAATCTACGCAGGGAAATTCGCAACATGGAGGAGGGGTGCGTTGCCAGCAAGATTGTTCTGCCTCTGCGACTTGCGCATCTGCATATGTGAGACGCATTGACACAGCTGCAGGAGCTGTTTCATCCACGAATTGTGAACTTGCTGACTCACCTCTTCGAGGCCGAGAAGCGAATGCGACACTGGCAATGGGAACGTTGACGAACATTGAAGACCTGAGCTCGCATGAATGTTCCACTACACCCTTCTGTAGTTGCTCTTGTCGCCAGGAGGACAGATGTTGGCTGGTGATGGATCTCGCTCGAGGGGGTGACCTGCACAACAAAGTCTTCGATGAGTTAAACATGTCCATCAGCCGAGGCCAGGTGAAATTGAAATTTGAATCTGGGGGAATTGATTTGAGCTTGGAAGTTGTGCTCAGCTGTCGTGGCTGATGTTTCACGTACGTTCAAGTCTCTTGCTTTTCGGTTGGTGTAACATTGGCGAACGTGGCAATTGACTTGAAACAACTTGATGTTGCTTATACCAGCTTGTGAACGCTTTGTGCAGCTTTTCGAACGTCCTTCCTTGACTGCTGTATTTGTTGCAACGCTGGCACTTTGAACCTCTGATTCTCCATTAAGGCTGCCAGACAGTTGGTTGGACCTTGTCCGTACTTCGAACCTCCGACAAAGCATTGGCCATTGCTTCCTATCCACCAGCCTTTGCGTTGGCTTTGTTGGATGATGTGACTTTGGCATAGCGCGGAAAAGCAATGTCCCACCCGTGCAGGGTCTGGGGGCAAGGGGTTGAAGTTGGGAACGCCCGGTGCGGCAGGGTGCGGCAGGGTGCGGCAGGGTGCGGCAGGGTGCGGCAGGGTGTGGCAGGGTGCAGGGTGCGGCAGGTGTTTCTGGATTCAGAGCCGCCCGCTTTGCATGCCATTCTAGGAGGTGATTCTCCGTCAAGGCTGCCAGACAGTTGGTTGGACCTTGCCCGTACTTCGAACCTCCGACAAAGCATGTGGCCATTGCTTCCTATCCACCAGCCTTTGCGTTGGCTTTGTTGGATGATGTGACTTTGGCATAGCGCGGAAAGACAATGTCCTACCCGTGCAGGGTCTGGGGGGAGGGGGTTGAAGTTGGGAGCGGCCGATGCGGCAGGGTGCGGCAGTTGTTTCTGGATTCAGAGCCGCCCGCTTTGCATACCATTCCAGGAGGTGATTCTCCGTCAAGGCTGCCAGACAGTTGGTTGGACCTTGCCCGTACTTCGAACCTCCGACAAAGCATGTGGCCATTGCTTCCTATCCACCAGCCTCTGCGTTGGCTTTGTTGGATGATGTGACTTTGGCATAGCGCGGAAAATCAGTGTCCCACCCGTGCAGGGTCTGGGGGGAAGGGGTTGAAGTTGGGAACACCCGATGCAGCAGGGTGCGGCAGGGTGCGGCAGGGTGCGGCAGGGTGCGGCAGGGTGCGGCAGGGTGCGGCAGGGTGCGGCAGGGTGCGGCAGGGTGCGGCAGGGTGCGGCAGGGTGGGCAGGGTGCGGCAGGTGTTTTTGGATTCAGAGCCGCCCGCTTTGCATGCCATTCTAGGAGGTGATTCTCCGTCAAGGCTGCCAGACAGTTGGTTGGACCTTGCCCGTACTTCGAACCTCCGACAAAGCATGTGGCCATTGCTTCCTATCCACCAGCCTTTGCGTTGGCTTTGTTGGATGATGTGACTTTGGCATAGCGCGGAAAGACAATGTCCTACCCGTGCAGGGTCTGGGGGGAGGGGGTTGAAGTTGGGAGCGGCCGATGCGGCAGGGTGCGGCAGTTGTTTCTGGATTCAGAGCCGCCCGCTTTGCATACCATTCCAGGAGGTGATTCTCCGTCAAGGCTGCCAGACAGTTGGTTGGACCTTGCCCGTACTTCGAACCTCCGACAAAGCATGTGGCCATTGCTTCCTATCCACCAGCCTCTGCGTTGGCTTTGTTGGATGATGTGACTTTGGCATAGCGCGGAAAGACAATGTCCCACCCGTGCAGGGTCTGGGGGGAAGGGGTTGAAGTTGGGAACACCCGATGCGGCAGGGTGCGGCAGGGTGCGGCAGGGTGCGGCAGGGTGCGGCAGGGTGCGGCAGGGTGCGGCAGGGTGCGGCAGGGTGCGGCAGGGTGCGGCAGGGTAGGCAGGGTGCGGCAGGTGTTTTTGGATTCAGAGCCGCCCGCTTTGCATGCCATTCTAGGAGGTGATTCTCCGTCAAGGCTGCCAGACAGTTGGTTGGACCTTGCCCGTACTTCGAACCTCCGACAAAGCATGTGGCCATTGCTTCCTATCCACCAGCCTTTGCGTTGGCTTTGTTGGATGATGTGACTTTGGCATAATCGTGCGGTGTGGGCAAGCTGCTTTGTCTTTGGAAGTGTGTCCGTGTAGATCTTGTGTTGGAAGTCCTTTCTCAGTACTTGATTTGGATGCTTCCCTTTGATCTGTCTGTGTGGCCAAGATTTCATGAGATGTGGAGAGTTGTTTCAGCACCGTTCACCGTGGATTGTCTTCTGCTTCCGCATGCTTCCGCTTCTGTTTTGTGAGGAGATGAGTACTTCCCGGGCCTGGGACAGTCCGAGCTGGCTTCCAAGCACGTGGCCCACCAGCTCCTCGAAGGCGGACAAATGCATAGCTGGAGCTTTGAGAGTTGCCTCCAGCAGCATGCAAACCAAGGGGCTTCTTCGAGTTGCATTGAGTGCTGTCGCTGGTGCTGTCAGTCAGGCATGGGGTATATGCATTCCTTCGGGATCATCCATCGCGACATGAAGTTGGAGAATGTGTGCCCTGCCTCCGATTTTTCGCGCTGATGGCACGTGCTGACCGCTGACATGATCCACATGACTTTGAAACACCCTCTGAGCTACCTAGGCTGATTGTTCGCACTTATGCCTACCCGGGACATGCAGAAAGTGGTGTAGCAGTCCCATCAGAGGTGCACGACGACTCTCGGTGTCGAAATGATTCGCAACGTCTCACTGCAAGCGTCAAGTCTTTCATGTGAGACGCATAGCATAGGAAGCACAAGCAGAGGTGAAAATCACAGACTTTGGGCTGTCAAAGAACATGCAGCTTGGTCGCAGTGGTACCCTCGACAAACAAGCTCGTTTCAACGCTTTTCCAAGGCACAGTGCGCCTCTGTTGCGACGGGCAAGCTGCGTTGGCTCTCCTGATTTCGTCGCCCCGGAGGTGCCGATCAAGTACAAGCTTTGTTTTACGTTCACAAGCCTGCCCTGTGAAGGTCTTGTCTGGCATGTGCGACCAGGACTCGGGACTTTGGAACCGATCTTGTCCGTGATGCATGCGGCAACACTTGGCGACCTCTGCAAGCAAGAGACACCAACAGAGAAGATGCAGCTAGCAAAAGCATGGAATCTGCGGGTAGCAGAACCGATAGCACCGCCACAGCTAAATTGAGAAAACCATTTCTCACTTGGGTCACACAGATTTGATGGCTTTCCGAGTCATGCCTCCCTGTAGTCCTGTGATTATTGGAGCTTTGGCGTGATGACCTACGCCATGATCTGCGGGGAGTGGCCTTTCTCCATCAGGCATTTCGACAGCCAGGATCCTGTGGTAGCTATCCTCAATTAGGCTCGTATATGCCAGGTCCAACAAAGACTTGGTACCCGAGCGCCACAGAGAGGTCCGGAGAACTTGAGTTGCAGTACCATTGTCACGACTGGTACGAATGTTATGGACGTCAGGCGTGCTCATGTCATTGCTCGTGCCGTGCAGGTGGTCTCCTCTGTCAAGGCTGGCAAACCGTGGCAGAATGCCTCGAAGGAGGTGGGAGGTGCAACAACAACAAAATCATTCCACATGAGAAAGCACGAAATGCTTGGCTCAGTCACGGTCAGTCTGGAGCCCTCTGGAAACCGTTCATGAATCCTAAACTTGCCTTGCCCTTCATCTCCGCTCCAACCTTTCTCCTGTTGTCTAGGCCAATGCCAGGCAACTCCGAAATTGCCTCAAAGATTGCTTGCGACTCCTGAAACTCTGCATCCATGTTAAAATTCACTCGCTTTCGGCAGCCTAAAGTGTGCATTCCGTTTTGTGTTCGTGTATCGTCTTCGCGGATTGATGGGTTCATGGTGCTCAGCCTCGAAACAAGCTGGACACTACGTGGGAATGACAGAAAGCTTACGACACCCAGGCATGCGCAGTGGGAACCTAAGCAGACAGGCGCAAGCATGCTGTTTCTTCTGTTCCGAAACGCTCAACATGGATCGTGGACTTGGAGGATGAGACGAGACGAACGAAAATGGCCGAACCTGAATCTCGAATACCGAATATAAGCCTCCCAGCTCTCTCACTACAGTGTGACGCAAGTGCGGCTGAGCAAAAGAAAGACAAGTCTCTTGCATACTTGCAAGAGAAATATTTGCACATGTTTTGTTGGGGCAGGCTTCTTGACCTTGTGACCCTGTTCAGGCGCGCTCTCTGATCCAAGGCTTGCTTAGCATCAATGCCGCTGTGAGGTCCGCTGTGCTCAGCTTTGCTCACGGGACATGCAATCAGACCCAGAAGTCCCTGCGGATATTTGCAGAGGTTCAGCCATGTGGACTGCCTGCATCATGCATGGTTCTCCAGCAGTGACTCCCAGATTGACAGCAACAAGGCAGCTTTCGTGAGGTTGCACGTGCAGTCGCTCCAGACTTGCTGTTGTCGCAGGTGACAATCTGTGACGGGCTGTCTCCCAAAGATGGAGCTCCTCGAGGTGTAATTCAAGAAATCATTGGCTGCAGCCAGAATGCACTGATCTGACCCAGTTGGCATCGTTTGGCATCGTTTGGCATCGTTTGGCATCGTTTGGCATCGTTTGGCATCGTTTGGCATCGTTTGGCATCGTTTGGCATCGTTTGGCATCGTTTGGCATCGTTTGGCCCTTGGGCGGTGCTTTCAGTCGGGGGGGCAATTACAGTAGCACATCTAGGCAGATTTCGGTCACAGTTTTCACGTGAGTTGTCATGATCCAGAGGCTAGAACACAGTTAGAAGTGTGGTCTGCTTCGACACATCACAGTCTGACGGTGTGCCCTGACACCCATGTTGAAAACCAGATTTAGCGCTCCTCCAGCAGACTGTGTATGCCCACGTTGATGTTCGCATTTTCTGGCCGTCGAGACTTGCTGTCGTTCGAAGTGTCTACTCGTTGAGCAAATGCACGTGGCGTGATTCCTGCTTTGAGGTACAGGATATGCCGTTGACAACATGCAGATGAAGTTGGTCAATGGAACCACCCTGTCGTTTGGGAGTGACTTGGCTGGTGTCGGACCTTGTTCGGGCCACTTGACAAGAGCAACGAGGGGTCTTGTGTCTGCCGAGGCATGGGAGGTGACATTGAGCATCACTGGAAGCTCAGGCAGGGTTGCTCACTAGCGCTGACAACCTCTTGCAGTGGGCAACCTGCTCCTGCTTTCGACAGAGATCTTGAATGTCGACATTTGCGCATGGTTGCGCTTTGCTGCGCTTTGATTGCATTTGTTGGTATCTTGTGCTAGGCCAGACGAGAGGCTCGTCTCCGTGTTGCAGGAGGATACCTGCCTGGTTTGGGCTGCTGTGGGCTGCCATTGGCAGTCACGGTACCATCACGTTGCGATGTTTTTTTTTCGCGGGAGAGTGTGTTACCACAAGGAGAGGCATGACTTCCTGGGCTTGGCCATAATCTTCAATACATCCCGAGGCGATGTCCTAGCATTGCAGGCCTGGGATTCTGTTGGAGATGCCGAGTTAAGGGGTGACTCAACTCAGTGACTCAGTGACTCAAAGGTTTGCTGAAGCTTCGCAGGGCTCACAAGCACGCAAGCGTCGATGCTTTTTGGCTCCTTCCGGAAGCCAGATCGTTGGCCTTCAATTTCAAGGACACCGTACAACACGATTCGGTACTGACAGAGATGTGAGATGCTCGAAGAGATGCCAGGACATCGGCTCATGGGTATCCATCTGCGGAAAATTTCAGCAGAGGAGACCTGAAGCACCATGTTAAAAATAGCGGAAAGCATGCTCTTCGATCGAGTAAGGAGCCAGCGGCTGTAGTGTCTTTGGGTGGACGTGTGGGGCACGCTGTGGACAAGGCGGGGTGGGCGTCACCCAGATGCTGAGTACGAGTACTGGGCATTGAGAGGTCATGTAAATGACCCGCGTATGGACATGTTGTTGATTGTTCGAGGTCTGGTTTCGTTTTCGGGATGGCAGTACTTGCGAGTACGGGAACTCGGAGGGAGGCAGGTGTGCAGTGCTGGTTTCGTGGTCTTCCAATGTGGCACGACGTCGTACATGCGGTCGTACATGCGGCAGGTGCGGAGCAAGGACCTTGGGTGCTCGAACCAGGTGAGCACATCACAGCTGTCGAGCAGGCAAGGTCAGCGGTGACAGATGCCAGCGGTTCATTGTGCTTCTAGTGACCTCGAGTTTGACCTGCGCAAGTTGGCTCGGGATGCCTTCCTCGGCACATCCATAGCCTTCTACACCTCGCTTGGCAGCATCTTCAGCCTGAAGGGTATGGAGGCGCCGCCCGCGAGCTTGACATGGCATGACGTGACATCTTTAGAATCTTGGTACATGTGATGTTCTGATTGCTTATGTCGGAGTTGCGTTCTGAAGGCCTTCGGGTCGAGGCGCTTCACTGTACCACGTGGAATGCAAATATGTGGGTTGCAGTTCGAGGCGGGGCCGAGCAGATCTCAGATCTTTCTAGATGTCGACTTTGGCAGTTGGGCGCAGGGTAGCATGATCGCCTCGGTGACGACATGCCCAGATGACGGAGCCTTATGGTAGGCGCATGGAAGCACCACGCCGCTCCATCACTAGCAGTTCAGTTTATGGCACCATTCGGCCGGAATCCCAAGGACGGAGACATGCGAGCCTGCAAGACGCAGGGCCTGCTGTCGTGACGCTAAACAAGGAATCTGCGTGGTTGTTCTCTCAAGACTCTACTTTAAGACCATAGGTGACCATAGGATGTTGTTGAGTCGGGTCACGAGACGATGGCAAAGCACACTAAGCTGCTCTGCCCATGGGGGGACATGTCCTGTGTACAAACATCCCCTCGCAAGGTGCCGAGACCGAGTTTGGTTTATTGTTATCTGATGCCCGGATCTGCTGTAGCATACTCTTTGAAATCTATGCGAGGCTGTATGCATGACCACTCGATCTTGAGGATGTTTTGGGCCTCAACTTGGCATCCAAGCACAAATTTCCAGGAGCATCATCCTGCTTAATTTGTTTCTCGGCCGCTTCGCTCAATGTCCCGAAATCGGGACATGAAGGTATGAGGAGGGCCGTCTGGGATTCAGCTTACCATGCTGGTCAACTACCTCAAGAAGGAGTTGTGCGTCAAGCGCAAGTGCTCCTAATCAAGTCATGTTGCTCGCGCCGTTCCAACCGTTGACGACATGCATTGGGCCCACGAAAGGGGTCTTTACAATAGGAAAGAATCACACGAAGAGGCCTGCATTGTCACTGGTTCAACTGGTTCTTGGCGATCGTTTAAGCCATAATTTTATGGTGAAATCCGTTAATCATTCTCTGGCCATTGGGCAAGCGAGAGTCTTCAGAACGTGAAAGTCGGGGGGCCATGTCGAGCCTTTCTACGTGCATCGGACGGTTTTCTGGAGTCTCTCGTGATTCGCTTGCATGCCCCTGGTATGTGAGTGCCTTGGTAGTTCAGCCATCTGCAGCCACTTGATTATCGGAAAATTGCAATGCCACGCAGTGCCGTGCATTACGCCTCTGCCCAGCATCATCTTGCGATGTGCGCATTCGCTCCCGGCCGTGATTCAAGTCCTGTGCAAGTCCTGTGGTACACGCATGTCTTGCAGACAGTGTTGATCAGCCTTGCAAAGGTTGCAGCAATCAGCCCCTCCAGCCTCATGTAATTAGCCTCGGGAACGCCGAAATAGTGCCTTGTCATCTCATCACCCATTTTCTTTCTGCGACAGACATAAGATGGCCATTTATGTGTATGCAATACAAATATCACAAATCATTACAGTCTATGTTAACATACGACAAGCACATGAACGTCAGTCAGATTCTGAGGGGGCCTTTGTCTCACAAATGTCAGAAAATGCAGGGTTCCTTCTGAAAGCCCATGACATTGCCACCCAGACTACGCATATCCGAAGTGGTTGCAACCTTCATGCGGTATTTCTTCAGGTAGGGACCAAGCAGGTTCTCTTGCATGCTTTGCATGTCAGTAGTTTCAGTTCTCTGTCCGCCAACCCAGCTACCTGCCGAGCTGCCTGGCAAAAAGGGTTAATGCTGGCAGGGAAAGCTTGAGCCGTGATTTCGTTTGCCCACGATGAAATCTTGGAGCTTGCGAGGGTTGTCCATGCGTCGTCGCAAGCAAAGCTACGTTTCTCGTGGAAGTTTTATCCTCTTGCCTGTCAGCACATCATGAGCATGATTGTGCACAGTGCTGTTCATGTTAAGACACGCCACACGGGTCTTTGGTTGAAGCCAATGGAGACGTGAGTGCGATGAGGGCAAAGTTGGAGACATGTCACGGACGGTGCCAAAGTTGCTTGAGGTGGCTTGCAGGGAATAAGGTGAGACTTGAGTGTGTAGGCACACACTCATGCACATGCAAGCACCAGCAGCCATGCTGCAGGCATTTTCGCCGGAGAGCTTGAACTGCATAGTGCATCCTCGATTCTCGTTGAACTCAACATCCCACCCAGCCTTGTACTTGTACTGACAAGTTATAGTTGAGCACAGCAGGAAGGAGCATTTGCAAATACGGCGCGACTGCAATGGGCATGTCGGGTAGCTATCGTGTAAGGAAAGTGCAGCAAAGGGTCGCTATGTGTTGATCGTGATGGTGTTCATGGGTCTGTTGGTGCAGATGTGGCTTTGATGTGGACGTCGCATGCTTGGTGTGTACTGTCGGTTGTGGCCAGATCAATCATGTTTGCACACATGGAGATGGCCTGCGTGCAAAGGTCATGTTGCTCCATGGAGATTTGCCGAGAGCCTGCGAATGAGTCTTGTACGAATTTCGCAATGAATGTTCATGTTGTCATGCTTCGCAGCCTGATGGCATGTGAATTGCGTACGTGGCACCTGATGCACACGCGGCCGGTGTGAACGTCTCAGGCGACTGCAACAATCAGTTCATCACCATCCAAGGTCGTCAGCGCAACAGCTTCGCATTCTGGACTGTTCTTGGCTGCCACTGGCAGTGTTGCAGTGCCCATCATGTCCCCTGTTGTGCAGGGGCCTTCGCGTTCGCCAGGCGGGTTGCGCTGTTTCAAAACTAAGCATCCGCCACAGCATTTGCGTCACGCATTCTTGAAAGATCTTTGTACACTTCATCACAGGGCCACGTGATGCAATCGGTTTGAGATGATGAGCACCTGCAGTAGACAGCAGAGTCAGCACACCATGTGGTGGCAGTTGGGCCCAGCAACAGCAGCCCAAGCATTGCACTCAGCGGCCAATGCATGTACTGGCAGTGTTCATTGTGGGAGTTGTGTCATGGTGGCTGGCCAGTCACCCCATGTCTCATCCAGCTTGTGCTTGTTCCTTGGATGTCGTGTGAGGATGCAGGCTTGCGCCCACATTTGCACGTGTGTCAGATTCTGCACGGAATCTGAACTTCCGCTGCGTTTTAGCTGGATGCCATGCCGCAGAACAATACTTCTAGAGAGTTCTGGGGTTTATCTTACGTCTTTCTCGTTTTCAAGATACTGCAACAGCAGCACGCAGGCCCGTTCGTAGTCTGCATCATCGTAGTTTGCACAAGAAGTTGCCCAAAACACAGCAGATCGTGCAGAGTTGCAGACTGTCGAACCTTGCTGTGATGGCAGCGCCGGCAGCGCCAGGTTAGCGCCAAGCAATATGAGAGTTTATCCTAAGTGGCTGGTGCCTGCAAGGTCTGGTGCTCGCCGAAGCACGTCTTGGCTCCGGGTTCAGTAACATCTACATTGAATCTAACATCGTAATGGGACAGGATTCTTACATGAGTAAGGAGATGTACGCATGCAAACTGCGGAAGATAGGGGAACAAAGGCAGAGTTTGCAGCCGTGCAGGTTCGAGTTGTGCAAAAAGAAGCATGGAGCAAATGGTGCCGGGAGACACGGAGCCGGTTGGAATGGATCCGCTGACAGACTGTCCAATCTGTTTCGAGACGTACGAGCGATGGGAGATGGAAGCTGGACAAGCTGGAGATCCCCCCCGACATGCGGAGAAGAAGCTAGACTGCTGCGGCCAATCCTTGTGCTTTCACTGCTACGGTCACCTGCGTAGATGTCCTTTTTGTCGTATACGTTGGCATGGGGACTCAGAGGAAGATGATGATTGGGATGCCGACAATGCAAACTTTTGGCAGCGCAGAAACTTTCCGAATCCGATCTTGACAGTCTGGGGAACTACTTTAGCTTTGGACTTGATCCGAGTGATGACTTCATCTGCCCTGACCGGCGCGCGAGCAATTGCAGCAGCGGCAACAGCGGCAGCCGCGGAATCCCCCTTGCTCCTAGCTGGTACAGCTACCGGTGCTGCTGTAGTGGTCGGAGGCCTTGCGCTTGTAAAAGCTGCGCAGCATCGACCCGAACAGGCAGAGCGATTGCAACAGGCGGTCCGCAATCGAATTCGCCATCAGCTGGTCCTCCACGTAGCAGACAACGTCGGCAATTCGTGGCGGAAGGCCGTGGCAAACATTTGGGATGCGCTTCATTGGCACCTCTCGCCGCAGCTTGCAGGGATGCCACATGTCTATACAGGCTCAATTTGGCGGACATCTGCCCGGATGAAGCATCATGCTGCGCTGTCCGCATTGTTGCACAGTGAAGGTCAGACCGAGACACCAATGTCTGGAGAGTCTGCATCTTCATCCTCAGCACAGAGCTCCGAGGACAGCTTTGCCAGGCTGCGTGTCTGGGGTGACGTTGTCTTCTGCTTTATTCTTTGGCTGGACTACAACCCGCACACTCCGAACTGGGGGTACTGCAGCTCCTATGGGCTGCCTCACCTGCACTTGTGTTGGCACAACCGCTGGCGCGAGGACGGATGCTTGTGCCGCCTGTGTAATGCTCGGGCATCTTTCTCTGTCTCTCTCTCTCTCTTTCTCCTCTGGCTCCGCATCCGAGTGTTTCCAGGACTTGCGGCATGTGGTGTGCGATTTGGCAAGACACGTGGAAAGTGAGTACATTCAGGCATCTGGCCAAGATAGCCACTTGCATGCTCGGCGGTTTGTCCCTGTGTCCAGGCGGTGCTCCCGCGTCAGGAGCTCAAATGTGTCCTTGCCTCAGCGGCATGCAATGTTTTCCAAGGCAGCTTGCGTGTGTCAGCGCTATGAGAAACATTGGGATAGCTGAGATGTTGGCAGGTAGAGTGCTTGCTGGCAATGCTGGACCATGTGCTGTCCTGGGAGGTGGGCGTGCAGCACCGTTCACCAAAGACCGATCCTTCGGACCGACATATAATCACGCACGCACGCATGCAGTCACGTACGCATCCACACACCCACACACCAACACACCCACACACCCACACACCCACAGACCCACACACCCACACGCCCACACACCCACACACCCACAGACCCACCCACACACACACACAGACACAGACACACACACACACACACACACACACACACACACACACACACACACACACACACACACACACACACACACACACACACACACGCACCCACACACACACACACACACACACACACACACACACACACACACACACACACACACACACACACACGCACGCACGCACGCACGCAGACAGACAGCCAGACAGACAGACAGACAGACACACACACACACACACACCAACACACACAGA